GGGGGGGGGGGGGGGACTCTTAGTGAGACAAGACCGTAGACTCAAGGCCGTACATCTTGAGGCAAAACGAAAAGGTTCGACGGCTTATTCATCCTCTGCTCCACCATGTGACCAAAGCGACTTGGCGATATCTCTCCGCACCGTGACATGACCAGGCATCATGCCAAGCCTGAACCTCGCGGGCAGGTCCTCAACGAGCCAGGCGCCGAAAGGAGGTACTCGTGTGTTGTTACACAAAAGTCGTATGCGCAAGGACCACGATAATTCCCTTTCAAAAACAAAGAGTAGCAGAAACATGGCCAACGGTCGGCATCTTCTGTGCGTTATGTCTGTTTCGTTCACAACAGTATCTTGCATATCTTGCGCATCTCATGTATCGTGTCCCTTCTTTGTCGTTTGTTGCCAGAAGGCGGGGGGGGGGGGCGTACTCTTATGTTTTGCATGCCTTGGCGGTTAGACCATTGACCACGCGTCCTCGAGAGGACGGAGCATTGTTCCCACAGGACCGATCACCGATGGCCAATCGTTCCTTTCTACTTCGCCAAAGGTGGTTCGAAAATGTCTTCCCTACTCTGTCTACCCTAACGATATCTCTTCCCGCCTTTTCAACCCACCTCCTATGCCCCAGTACAGCTACCGTCCTTTCCTCTCTATTCCATGCCTCAAACATCTCCCTGTACGTTCCATCTATTTTTCCCAGCTCAGTCACGTACACTTCCCTCTCCTTCTTGTACAACGGACATTCCGCGACTACATGAACACGGTCTTCGCATTCGAAGCCGCAATCACATTTGAACTCGTCGTCTTCCTCGTCTACCGTCCTATGTCTTCGTCGACGTTCTCGAAGGCCTATGTCCCCGGTCCTGAATTTGACCTTAAGCTTTGTTCCTGCATCCATTGGTCCATGTAGGTAGTCCTTGAACCCTATTCCTTCCTTCAACATTCCGTACACTTCTAGACCCTCCTTATCCTTGGATTCTTTCCTCAGATTCTGTTCTTCTCCCTCGGCACGAGCAACAGATATCTTCTCCTCGAACCC